AATCATAAATTGGAATAAATCAGAAAATGTTTGAGGTTATGCAAATAAGTCAGTTTTTTTGCAAACAAATGATAAAAAGACACTGTTTTAAATTGGTACATAGGTTCTCTTAATTGTTTTGTTTCCCATTTAAAATTTTCCCTTAATTGTTCGAACTTTAAAAAAAAAACAAATGCACTTGAAACTTACAAAATAAACCGGTTGCTCAAACATCGTATCAATAACGTTTTGAAAGTGTAACTTTGGTTTATTGCTGTCTAACGTGTTTTTTATTTTACAAAAACTAAGTGAAGTTTCTGTTATTTTGGAGTATTCCCTACAGAATAGCAACAAAAAATAATGTAAAACTGCTTTTACGAAATTGGGCTTTCGCACAGCCAAATGAATCATTTGACCTAATGTGCAATGGCACAAGACTATGCACAATTGAGCTGAAAAGACATGTTGTGCAAGCCGCCATCATCACTGGCGGGGCCAGAGGACAATCAGTATTGATACCACAAATTTTCAACAAACACGCGATTTCAGTTTAAACGTTTGCAGTTTCCGTTATCAGTAGCGCTCGCGAAAACGATTAATAAAGCCAAACATAACTCGGAATTTAAATGGTGTTCCACAATCTGATCGGAACTTTTGTTTCGAAGTTAATATCGAATCCGCTTGTAGGAAAAACGAAACAAACCTCCTACTTGTCAATTGCGTTCTGAAGTATCAAGATTTGAATTTGAAGAAATTAAAAAGTGAAAAATAAAGCTGATGCCAGATAAAACTTTGTAGCTTTGCGTGACATTTATAAATTTGCCAGCAAAGCGCCAGACGCAAAAGGTATGCCACAATGAACGCCAAGAAATCAATTTTGCACTGCTTTTTTACTCGTCAAAATTGCTGTGGATTTAAGATATTTTGCTTTAAAATTATCAGCAATGTAATTGAGTTTTATGTTTCAGCATGAATACTCGAATTTGGACGAAACAAAATAAATATTAAACCGGCTGATTGTCAAAGCGCGCAAAAAGATGGGAGTTGGCCATCTTTTCGCTTCGCGCTGCAGCTTCAATGATCTATGTGGCATGCTTTGTGCATTTTCATACAATTATCTTAGCTGTCAAAGCGAATCTGTCACGTAAAGCGAAGCAAGCGTTTTATGTGGCATCAGCTTAAAATGAGTTCAATGGTTTTATTACCTGATTTGTTCAATAATGAGCAGCAAACAAATGAAAAAGTGAGGCAAACAATATTGCTTGATCGCAGCAATCTCATATAATTACCGGACTCTGTGCAAGTAGTATGCAAACAACTGTTTACTCTTATGTGCACTGGACCACAAATTTCAACTTTTTCTCTTTACCAGAAACGCCGTTATGAAATTCTTATGTAAAATCACCCCCTGATTCCGAAAATCAAGGTTATTTTTAATTCTATGGTACCGTTTTTGAGATATTTGCANACACCAATTCCGACGGTGAATAACCCCAAAATACTCGGAGTAACATTCGACAGCCTGCTCTCCTTCTCTGCGCACGCAACCGCTATTGTCAACAAAGTACAGAGCCGCAACAAGGTCCTCAAGTCGCTAGCCGGCAGTACTTGGGGCAAAGACAAAGAAACGTTGCTGGCGACATACAAGGCAATAGGCCAGCCGGTTTTAAACTACGCAGCACCAGTGTAGTCGCCGGGGACTAGTAGGACGCACTCAGGACAGCGACTGGATGCCTCCTCATGTCGTCTGACGAGACGAAAATGCTCCCAATCAAGGAGCATAACATAATGCTCTGCAAGCAGTTTCTGGTTGGGAGCCACAGATGTGGCCACCCCAACAGACAGCTGCTTGCAGAGGAGGCCTCGCCTAGGCACGTCAGGAGGCATCTATACGAACTGACGGAAGTCCAGAGGTTCATTAAGCAGCCTCTGGACCCGTCAGCATACCGACAGACCCTGAACGGCATTCACAGGGACTCAGTCTCGAGTTATGTAGACTCTAGACCTGTGAATGCCGTTCTAGGCACACAACCTCCGGACATTGACGTGACGGAGCTTCATTTGCCTCGGGAGACAAGAACAACAATAGCCCAACTTCGCTCTGGCTACTGCAGCAGGTTAAACTCATACCTGAGTAGACTAAATGCGGATGTGCCAAATGAATGTCCGGCATGCGGAGACCCCTCGCGACACGAAACATCTCTTCGCATGCCCGGAAAACCCGACAACCCTAACGGCTTTGTCCCTGTGGACCGACCCTGTATAGGCTGCACGCTTCTTAGGGCTGCCGTTAGTGGAACTTGACGACAACGACTGAGATATCAACCGATCTGGGCGGGGTTGTTGTAGCCGCTACAACAACAACAACAACAACCAACATCGCTTTGGGAAGGAGCACCGTACCATTGCCAACGTTACTGACACAATCTTGTGTGCATGGAGTCTGTGATGTACGTAACGATAATAAACTGGGGTTATCGGAAGATTAACTGGGGTTATTGGACGATGCCGGGTATGCTCTAGAACCTTTTCTACAACACGCATTTAATCAAACACATTCTTCGGCACGTAATATTGGAGTTCCCAAAAGGCGTTTTCAGTGTTTATTAGTAACCTTGCAGTACAAACTATGAGAGGTTGTGAAAATAATTAATAAATGTGTTGCCTGCATAACATTTTTCGCCACTACAATCCTGAATTTGACTATGAAGAAGTTGAAGAAAATGATGGCGAAGTATGTAGATTGTAAAGTAGATTGATTTGCACCACCAGAAATTTATTTGAAAAGTGTAGCACAAATAATTGGGTACGAAATTGCGCATAAAATTACTCCTATTTAATTAAAAGGAGTTTTGTAATTAAACAATAGATTTACGCAAAACAAAAACATTTAAAGACTTTTTACTGTTTTCAAATTCGAAACGCTCTAGCTCCAACTCCTTAATTTTTATACCCGAGCGCACTTGTGCACAAGGGTATATTAATTTTGTTCACATAACGGTTGTTTGTAACAGCCAAAACGAATCGAGATAGATATAGACAAATGTATACATAAATGATCAGGATGAAAAAAGAAATCGATTAAGCCATGTCTGTCTGTCCGTCCGTCTGTCCGTCTGTCCGTCTGTCCGTCTGTCCGTGTACACGATAACTCGAGCAAAAATTGAGATATCTCAACGAAATTTGGTATGTAGGTTTCCCTTAATCCAAGGTAGGTTGGTATTGAAAATGGGCGAAATCGGACTTTAACCACGCCCACTTCCCATATAACGGTAATTTTCAGAAATACGAAAACTGCGATATTTC